GCTGCTGCTGCTGCTGCTGCTGCTGCACGCGAGCAAGGCGTGGGGAGAGGGTTCGCCGTCCAATCAGCTGGGTTGGGGCGAGGAACAAAGATGCTGCAAACCATGCCTTCCTGCCGAGGCACATCTTGCCGAACTGGCCCCCCACGAACTTGGATCGAGCACCGTCCTCTCCCATGACTTTGGCATCACACCCGACCGCATCGTCTCGACACCCGCCCTACGCAACCTCATTTCATGCCACACCTCATCTCACTCTCTCTCGGCCCTTTCCTTTCCTCACCGGTCCGTCGCCCCGCTCCATCCGCTCAACTGTCTCCTGCTGCCTGCGCGTGGGTCGTACAAGCTGCACGCGTTCCTCCGCACTCCAAGGACCGCAATCAAAGAGCCACGCTTCCATCTCGCATGCCGTCTCGCTTGCCACCTGCACAACCCACGCACCTCTAGCTGTACGCGAAGCTTCTCGAACTCGCGCCTCCCATCATCCATATAACCGCATCAACATTTTCATCTCTTCCCCACATCCATCATCCATCCCCTCATCCGGGCTCCTACCTCTCCTCTTCTCCTTGCTCCTCATTCACACCTCCCACCCCTCTAAGCACTTCGGGTCCCAGCCATCATGAGTGATCGCGACTCCGCCATCACCCCCACCGAGGAGAAGCCACGATCCATCGAGTCCGACGACAAGAAGCTCTCCGACGACGGCAAGCATGAACTCAATCACCTCGACCAGCTCCACGTAGCCACCCGCTCCGTCGTCTCCACCGAGGGCGTCATCGATGCCGCAGAACTCGACCGCGTTCTCGACGAGGCCGCCATCGAGGCTGCAGGCCAGGGCGAGAGCAACTCCCTCTACCTCTGGGGCCTCACCTTCTTCGCCACCATCGGCGGTCTCCTCTTCGGATACGACACCGGCGCCATCTCCACCGTCCTCGTCCAGGTCGGCACCGATCTCGACGGCCAGCCCCTCACCGATGGCAACAAGGAATTCATCACCTCGGCGCTCACCGTCGGCGCCATCATCTCCGCCCTCGGCGCCGGCATCGTCGCCGACAAGATCGGCCGAAAGTGGACCCTCGTCATCTGCGACATCCTCTTCATCGTCGGCGCCGTCGTTCAGGCCGCTGCCCACGAAAAGTGGACCGTCATTGGTGGCCGGTTCGTAATGGGATTCGGGGTGGGAGCCGCTGCCCAAATCGTACCGGTGTACATCCAGGAGCTCGCTCCCGCCCGTGCTCGTGGTCGTCTCACCTGCCTCAACTCGATCGCTGTGACCGGTGGTCAGGTTATCGCCTACGCCATCGGCGCCGCCTTTAACAACGTCTCGTCCGGCTGGCGTTGGATCATCGCTCTCGGCGCCTTCCCTCCCATCGTCCAGATCGTCGGTATCCACTTCTTCATGTCCGAATCGCCTCGATACCTCGTCAAGCAGAACAAGGATGCCGAAGCCACTCGTGCACTCGCGCGAATTTACCCGCTCGCCACGCCCGAACAAATTGAATCAAAAGTTGGCGTTCTGAAAAGACATATTCAGACCGAGAACACTCCCCTCTCTCACCGCATCGCCAAGGTCTGGACAGACGTCCCTACTCGCCGAGCCGTCTTCCTCACCAGCATGACCCTTGTCGCTCAGCAGCTCTGTGGATTTAACAGCTTGATGTACTTCTCTAGTAGTCTCTTCAAGAGCGCCGGTCTCAAGAATCCAACCGCCACCGGTCTTGTCATCAGCGGCGCCAACTTTATCTTCACGTTTATCCCGCTCAAGTACATCGACCGCTTCGGCCGACGTCGCTTCCTTCTCGCAACGATGCCCTGCGTCATTATCTTCCTCATCTGCACCGCCGGCATCTTCCACAAGATGCTCGAGCCCACCAACCAGCGTCTCACCGAGGGCTACCCATACCCGACCTCGCTCACCTCGGCCATGCTTGTCTTTATGGTGTTCTACGTCGCCTCGTACGCAACCGGTCTCGGCAACGTCCCCTGGCAGCAGGGCGAGTTCTTCTCCACCGAGACTCGCATGATCGGCACGTCCATCTCCACCGCCGCAAACTGGTCGGGCAACCTCGTCGTGTCTTCGACCTTCCTCAGCCTCATGAACACCATCACGCCCTCGGGCGCGTTCGGCTTCTTCGCCGGTCTGACCTTCATCTTCCTGGTCATCATCTACTTCCTCTACCCCGAGACTGCGCTGCTCTCCCTCGAGGAGGTACGCACCACCCTCGACGGCGGCTTCAACGTCAAGAAGAGTCTCAAGGTCCGCAAAGAGAAGATCGCCCTCTGGAAGGCCCAGAAGGACGCCGCTCGTGCCGAGACCAGCGCCTAGACTTGAGCCGCCTTTCATCCCGTATCCTACTTCACGAACCTCATGTCACACAGCCATCACGACCTGTACTTTTAGTCTCCCAAGATATCCTCGACTGCACCCTTTGTCTCCCATTCAACAATGTCACGTCATTGCAACATTACTCCGCCTTCTTCTTCTTCTTTAGTTGTGCGCTCCG